CCTTGTGTTGGTACATCCCTTGTGTTGGTACATCCCTTGTGTTGGTACATCCCTCATGCTGGTACATCCCTTGTGTTGGTACATCCCTTGTGTTGGTACATCCCTTGTGTTGGTACATCCCTCGTGTTGGTACATCCCTTGTGCTGATACATCCCCCGCAAGGCCAGTTATGCTGGAGGGACCTGGTGCCACCCTGGTTTTGTAGGAAGTACCCACTAGCTGAGCCTGGGGGTGTTATACACCAGCCGACGCGCTACATGCCGTGTGGCAGCTCTCCAGCCCAGTGTGTTCAGAGACAAAATAAAGGTCTTGCAGTCTGGTGTGCAGCTGGGTAATTCATCAGTAAATCTCACTGATATCAAATGCCGATGACTGCAGGGGTGATATCTAACACTGATTACCCTCATGGAAAACCTCGGGGGACCAAACAGGCCTGAACTCCTCAGTCCCTCCAAAAGCTTGTTTGCAGATGCAGATTTAATAAGCACTACACTTAAAGAAAAAGAGAGAAACTTATTTGGTGTTTTATCAGACTATAAGATTCATAAACACCCTGTACACATACCAGGCGTGATTTTTAAATATGCAAGCAATTTCTTTGATTCCTTTAATCATTCTAGTTTGACTGCTCATAAAAATCCAGCCTCCGGTTTTGTTACTCTCAATGAGTAATAAGTTAAAAACAATGTGGCCTTGGAGCCGCTAAGGTATGAGAATGTACCCATGATGACTATGGCATCCCGTTCAGGTTGTACCCCAGCCTTGGGCTCCTTGGGATAGGCTCCAGCCCCCCCCCCGGGTCCCTGACCAGGATGAGCAGTTACAAGGTGGGCGGCCACATTATGTGTTTCATCATAGGACCGAAATCTTGTGCTACTAATAGGTTAACCCATGCGGGATGCACCTTTTAGCTGTGCTGAATACCACATTAGAGATAAAATATCCCTCTTATATCACAGTTAAACAAAAGAACAGCCCATGGTCGTTAAACAGAATTATATTCTCACTTAAATGAAAACACGTGTTAAGTGAAAAAAAGCTTATAATGTCATTTATAATCCTTAAAAAATTTAATTGCCAAAAGAACGATCATCGCTTCGGGGCGTCGTTAGCAAGGACCGGGTTTCTAAGCGCACCTGCACTGCCCTCTAGCGTATAGTAGGAATATGGCAGCCAAAATACTCCCGACATACTGCGAAAGTATCACATTACATTTATTTTATTTGGCGGACGCTTTAATTCAATGCCACATACAAGCGAGGCAGATTGTACATTACGAGCATTACAAGCAGACTGAGTAACGGGTGGGACAAGAAAGAAACAATGTATTATAACGTCATTTGAAAACAGGCTCACACCCTCACACAGATGGCGGCTTTTCCACTACAGGCAGTCTTTGTCCTGCACGCACTCTCTGCAGAAAGAAAGCCTGAAATTGCGTGTGAATGTGATACCGTGACAGAGCACAGCCCGGAGAGGGTGATTAAGTGTCACTCTACAGTGGCAGCGCTTTAAGTACCTGAAAGTCTCATGGATCAGGACTGGTGCTGCACATAGTACCACAGTCATCATGACCAGCCCTAGGTCCTTAAGATGGGCTCCATGTCTCTGCTGGAACGTGCTTCTGTCAGGGATGGACTGGAATGATGGTTGTATTCAGCTCTCATTAAAAAACTATGAATATGATCATAAATTTTGGCAGTTGTCTATAACAGCGTGTTTGGTGCTTTTGTCTGCTTTCCTGACAGTAAGAGTTTCAGACAGTTAAAGTGAATTAGAAAACAGGTTGCTATACTTCAGTTTCATATACTGCAGGTGTACCTCAGGTGTACCTCCATATACTGCAGGTGTACCTCAGGTGTACCTCCGTATACTGTAGGTGTACCACAGGTGTACCTCCGTATACTGTAGGTGTACCTCAGGTGTACCTCCGTATACTGTAGGTGTACCACAGGTGTACTTCCATATATGACAGGTGAACAAAGCTATATCTTTATATGGCCATTTGTCCCTTTTTGAATAATATGCATCTAAATAACTAGAACGATTACTTTGCTTCGTTTTTGTCTATAATTGTGTTGGATCGGCAGTGTATTAAGTGATGAAGTTTATGTATTCATTCTTCTTGTGCTGTCGTGAAACGAAAGTAAGCTACCTGAGAAGATCTCAAACTGTCATTACATTTACAAACAACTGTCGTGACATTTATATGGTTGGAAGAGTGACCGGGGCCCTGAGTAATGTCCCCTACCCCCAATTGCTTCAGTGACTGGCTGAACCTGACTTCTGTAATGTGTATGTCACTTTGCATGAAGGGGTCTTCTAAACAAGGAAATGTATGAATCTAATTTGCATATGTGAAGGACACATCTTGGAGTAGGTGTTACCAGCTTACACTTAAAAGAACGAGTATGGTGCACAAATGTTATTTCTGCTAAGGAGTTAATGTAAATACCACAGTGTTTTGGGCACCAGCCAGAGCAGGTCAGACCAGTCCTGTCACATCAGATAACGTGGCGAGCATCTGAGCAGAAAGCCACCATCACCTCCTTGCGACACACCTGGCCGTCAAGTCTGCAGCTTCTCAAGTTTCACAGCTCCGGAGGGATGGGTCACAGGTAAATCCATGTAAGATTCATAATGGTACCTTCCATACGCGAGCAGATGGCCCATGCAGCATCCAGGTCTGTCCTTAATGGTTATGCTGGGAGTTTCATTAGACACCAATGACAACAGTCTTCACAACGTGGCAGCGTGCACACTCCCATAGACTGAAGACTTGGCTTGAATCTGCAGCTTCATCCACACCCACATCACACTTAAAGAAAACACCAGCACACTCTTGTTATACAAGCCTTTCTCAATTTCATCTGCTTGGTAGGGGGAGGAGAATGTTACAAAATGACCTTTATATAAGAACCTAAACTAATTCCACAAATATTAAAAATAAGCTAATCTTCCAACGACTTATCCAGTTTCATGAAGTAGCGTATACCAAAAAAAAAACCCACAGATGACATGTTTAACAACCAAGCCTCCTTATAAAATGCCAGATAAATGGAATTGTGACATTGGGCACAAAGAAGATCTTAGCTGGTCCTTGTTGAAGCTGGCAGATACGCCAAAGTATCCCCGTTGGCTCATTCTGAGGTACACCTGCAGAAGATCACTTTGTTCAAGTATGAAAACTTGGTGAGACTCAGCAGGGATTTTGGCTGCAGAGCCGAACCCAGACAGCCTCCTCAAACAGACGCCCAAAGACCTCATTATAAATATCTCCTATGATCGATCACAACAGTTCCTTCAGAATGAGCCCAGACAGAACACACTGAGCCTTTCATATTTAAGCCGTACACATTAACGAGACACATTCACACACACAGCTGGAAGGTTTAATGTAACATGGTATCCCACACTGTCTGCTCTTGTAACAAGATCTTTGCAATGCAACACATTCTAAGAAGGACCTCTCTCAACGGTACATCACAGTCCACCCCGTAGCTCATTACATAACTTCATGCTTAATTACAGGGCCACCGGTTATACCTTATATTACAAATTAAATGTTACATTACTCAGCTTCACTAAAAACTAAAATTCTTACAGCCATGAAAGACAGTGATACTATTTAAGATATGCATGGAAAAAAAAGATTTGCTCAGACTGATCCGTCACAAACAATCCCATATACAGTACAGCAGGTATTTACATATCTGTGTCCCAGAAGGTGCACATTAGTGGCAGTGGGATGAATGATCTTCTCACATCGTTCTCCTGTGTGACTATTGCAGGATAAACCAGCCAATGGGAGGCTGAGCTCCAGCCCTGAGCTCAGAGGTGCTTCCTGAGGAGCAGGGGAGCCTCAGTGCTTTAGCAACCCCAGCTTCCTTAGTGCCTCTCGGCGGGCCTCGCCCACATCTCCGCGGGGGCTGATCACTACACTGACACCCTGCGAGCGCGGGAGCTTGGGGGGGCCCAGCACGTATTGGGGGGCCACCTTCTCCCTGTCCCTGACTTCTGATGCCTTAGCATCTGTGTTCGGCAGCGAAATGTTGCCCCTTAAGTCATGCCTGTTGCCTAGAGAGGCGGGTCGAGGCCTTGAGTTGTGCTCGGAGGACGGGGAGCCGTTGCCGATGGCCTTGGAGGGGCCCTGATGGCTGCCAAAGGAGCCACGACCGGCCTGATGCCTTCTAGGGCTGCAGGGGCTTCGCTCCAAGGATGCAGATTTGACCCCAGGAAAGTTCACAGGCTTGTTGACCTGCTCTTGATGCCCCCCTGGAAGAGCTGGTCTGTCTCTCGCTTCATGGAGCTCCTTGAAGGTCGAGGCAGATGCTGGAACAATGTTAACATCGCTCGACTGTAAGAAGGTGGAGGAAGGGCTGATGGGTGGGGTAGGGAGCTGGAAAAATCTGTAAGACTTGGGGGAGTGGCCAGGACTGTGGGTGACCCCACAGTCAACGTCATCAGCCTTCAAAAGGCCAATTTTACGTAGGGCCTCCATCCTCACCTTCTGTGGGTCCATCACCAGCCTCTCGCTGGGGGAAGTAGTTGTGCTGTTTGTTGGAGATGCAGAGTCTTGGCTGGACCCTGGTGTCTTGTGGCTCTTCAGGATGATGTTGGAAGGCAGCTTCTTGGGCTTGGGGGCCACCGTGGGTGGGCTGCTCTTTTGTTCACCGAGCTCATGCATGGGTACAACCTCAGTAGGCGAAGATGGCATGCTGCCATTGAGGGTATGTTCAGGAAGAGGTTTCCCCTTGGGGTCAGGAGATACAGGAGGTGATTTCTTGAGACTGGCTTGATTTTGCAGTTTCTGAAGGTCATTGTGGATAAGTGGACCCCTGATGACTGGATCTTTCTGCTCCAATGGATCATCCCTGAAGTCTAACGGAGGTGGGATCAACTCCAGGCTGACTTCAGGTGGGACACTGTCCTGACCTTCATGGTTCTGGCTTTCTGCGGTGGACCTTGGTTGGTCAGGCAGTTCTGTGTTTAATTGTGTCGCTTTCAGCGGTGAGACGTCTACTCCAGGATGAATGGTGCGGTCGCTGTGTCCCATGTGCGGGGCAGGGGGGAGGGGGTCTCGTAATTCTTGCACCCCTGTACCCCCGTCGCCTTCCCATCCTGGAAGATGAAGCATAAAGTCAAATACACAGAAAATACTGAGACTACCATGGAATTTACCTGGTAAATTCTTCTCAATCTCTAGCAGAGAAAGAGAATAATGGCAGGTTTTGGTTACTGGTCCTCAATTATAATAGTTAGTCAGTATTATTAGTTTCCTGACAAAACCACTGGCTTTAGAAAACATGGAGGTGCTCTGTACCGGGTGGGTCCAAACTCCAAGACAAGGCCGGTGTCTCGAACGTCAGGCTATCCGTGATACTGGACGAGGCGTGATCCTCCTCAGCCTCTAGGGATTCGATGGTCTCCTCCAGGAACATCAGGCATTCCCTCTCCGCCGCAGACAGGTCCTCCAGACTGCCGTTGCTCTGCAGTACAGACACATGGGCCAGGGGCGGTTAGCAGGGGTGGAAGTCCAGCTTCGACAAACACCGGAAAGTCGCCGCCGTGACCGACCGTGGAAGCTATGACGCGGGACCATGCAGGATGACCATGATTACTGTTCTTTTTGATACAGCATCATGGTGACTAACCAGTTTTTAAAAGGAAACGTGATATTCCAGGGTGCTGATTCCTGCTAGTTCCAAGTTAGAATGGAAGCTTCAGAGCAGAAAAGGTGATTTTTTGAAAGCTATAAGGTGCTTGACAGGCGGTGGCCATGGGTATCGAAGGAATTTCAAAAGCTGACAGGTGTTTACTTTTCACATGACGCCGGTGGAATGACAGTCTAAACACGGGTGTCTTTCAGAGGCAGACTGCAGCTGCCTCAGCCCTGCAAGATCGCTTCAGATCTCTGAGGAGCTTGTGCCCCTCCAGCCACAAAGTGCTTGTAGTCCTAACTGGCGTCTTTTTGAATATCGCACCGCAGCTCCGTCTGGGACGAAGGTAAGAACCTTCACCCGCCTGCCTCTGCCCTCCAACCCTGACACACCGTGGTGAACAAAACAATGTTTAATGACCTGGCAAAGCAAGTCGACCCAGCTACATATTTACCCAAGACCCATATGAAAGAAACCACACTAAGAATTTATTGAACTAAATTTAAATAGAGCCCGAGGTTTGATATGTCTCATGTGCTTAAAATACAGCCATCACTAAAGCCTGCTCTTGAGTTTAGGACCAGCGTAATTTGTATAGCAAACTTGTATCTTAAAACCGTAAAAGCAAGTCACTATAAAACTGTCTGCCAAGTGAAACAAACACAAAAAGAGCACATTCTGTGCAGCCAGCAATTCCTCCTAAATTAACCGTTGAAATAAAATTTACGGTCTACTAATCTAGCAAGCTCCATCTATTTTCGCTTTGCCTGGGGTCACTCAAAGCACAAGGGGTCTGAATGGTGTTTTCCGAGAGCATTCCTGATGGCTGCAATAAGTCCGGCTGTGTTGTGCGAGGTTGAAGTGTGGGTCTCACTAAATGGTGAGATGAATTTGGACGGAGAGGAAGGTTAGAAGGAGACTTGCCACTTACAAGGGCAGGGCCGAGGCTGACCGTACTGTCACAGCTGCCATCGTAGGCCACGCTGGGGATGCCTTCCACAGTCATGCTGCCTGGCCACACGGCACTCTTTGGCATCACACCAGAACAAGGGCGTGGCGGCACTCCCGGCGCCCTCTGCTGGTGTGGGGGAGGGATAGTGTTAGATCACATACAATAATGCATAAAAACACACGCAAGTCACTCCTCTAAAGTTAGGACAGTTCTCCTATGGTGTGTGGTTCTGTGGGTTAGGGCGCTGCGATCAGAAGGTCATTGGATCAAATCCTAGGGTCGGCAGAGTGGTTTTACTGTTGGCTCCCAGAGCAAGGCCCTTAACCCCCAGTTGCTCTGGGGCATGACTGCTTACTTAATACAGGGTCTCGGCGAGTCTGGACCCTATCCTAGGAAACACAAGCAGGGACACATGCATAACCCCCCAAACACGGAGCAGGGGCACAGACCAAGCATACGGAGGCACTTGGGGGGGGGGGGCATTTGGGGGACAGTATCTCGCAACGTAAACCAGCAAACCGACCACAGCTAACCCAGCCTGGCCCTCCTACTCCCCATGGCAGGGGGGTTATGAGGCCTGGTGCCCCCCAGCACTAATGTTAACAGCCCCTCCTGTGTTTTACTCGGTGATGAGAGAATCAAGATTCAAGATTTTTATTCGTCACATGCATGAATGTAGTGGTACACCAGCAGTGAGATGAAATTGCTGCTACTCCAGACTGTGCAAAAAAACAAAGCAGAAGGATAACGTAAATTATAAAAAATACAGAAATGTATACAAAGTATATAAAAGTAAAGATAAAAGTTATGCAAAAATATGAGAAAATCATCAAAGTGCAGCCTGCAGTTATACCTTACTTTAGTTACTAATTGGTGTTGTGTGTAAGTAAGTAAGTCCACTTACTAACTTGTGTTAGTAAGTGGTGTTGTTCTCAGAGATATCCAGGTCCAAATTATTACCACAGAGACAGCTCCTCCACATCGTCCAGGTATGCCGTCTCAACCCTGGTGGTCGTCAAACCATGTGGGGCTCTGATGGAGTGTTCTAATGGTCGACTGCATAATACAAGCAGTCTAAATCAAGGTTTCTCAACCCAGTCCTTGGGGACCACCAGACGGTCCACGTTTTTGCTCTCTCCCAATTGGCAGGGAATTGGGAGAGAGCAAAAACGTGGACCGTCTGGTGGTCCCCGAGGACCGGGTTGAGAAACCCTGGTCTAAATTATACTGCTTGCCGTTATATAGCTAGCATCAGTGCTGCTTCGCACCTGCAGGGTTGTGGGCTTGAGTTCTAGCATTTAAACTAATATTGAAATAGCCATTTGGCTGAACAGCATCCAGACCTGTTAGAATCTTATAGACCTGGATCATGTCCCCCCTTAGTCTCCTTTGCTCAAGGCTAAACAGATTCAGCTCAGCTAACCTCTCCTCAAAAGACATTCCTCTAAGACCAGGAATCATTCTCATAGCCCTCCGTTGCACCTTTTCAAAGGCAGCAATGTCCTTCTTAAGTTATGGTGACCAAACCTGACCATAATATTCTAGTTGGAGTCCTACCAAGGAATTATATAATCGTAGCATCACCTCCCTTGACTTAAACTCCACACACCTAGAGATGTAACCCAACATCCTATTGGCCTTTTTTATTGCTTCCCCACACTGGCGAGAGTGGGACATGGAAGCATCAACATACACACCAAGGTCTTTCTCATAATCAGCAACCTTTATTTCAGTGGAACCCATAAAATATCTGTACTTTATATTTCTGCTCCCCGCAAGGATTACCTTACATTTATCTACGTTAAATTTCATCTGCCAGGTATCAGCCCAGTCACTAATTAAATCAAGATCTCGTTGTAGCCTCTCTGCTGCTAGATCAGTATCTGCTACACCAACCACCTTGGTATTGTCTGCAAATTTAACCAGTTTACTGTATGTATTGGTGTCAATATCATTAATGGAAATTAGGAACAATAGTGGTCCGAAAATTGAACCCTGTGGTACCCCACTATGAACACAGGCCCACTGTGACATTGTGCCTCTAATAACTACTCGCTGCTTCCTGTCTGTTAAGCAGTTTTCGTGTGTTTGTGGTATAAACACGAACAAAACTGCCGTTATAGTTCCAGCTCTAGGTTCCCATGTCGGTTCTGCTTTCCCAGAGAAACTCACGGACAAAATGGAAAACAGCAGATCAGGCTGAACTGGTCCATCACAGGAATATGTGGCAGCCAATTATCCACTTTCGTTATACTCTACAGACTGTACCAGATGTACGATGGCTCGCACGTACAACCGAAGGTTATTTTTTTTAAATTAATGTATGGAAAAATAAATTTCAGGTGACGTTTCGCCCAACTGCGCTATACTACCTAATATGTGCCACATGTCGTACGATAGTCGACGCGGGAAAATACTGTACTATACGGCAGCACGGCCATCCCAGACTCACACGATCTCTCATCTTCCTCCAAATCATTCTGGACGGCATGATCTGCTAACTATTATTACAATATATGCTGCTCTCTTTTTTGGCATATAATTATTCTCCTCTCTTTTCTCAGTCTTCATTTATTCACCTTCTCTGTATCCAGGGACTGAGGGAAAGTCAGCTCACTAGATGAGCCAATGATTGGATCATTGTTACAGCTCAGCAACGTTATCCAGCAATAAAGTGAAGTCAGCTGAGTACCTGAATCTACTGAATGGCCAGGTTACACCTCCATCCATCATCAATGGATTTTTTCTTCCCTGTTGGCATGGGCATATTCCAGGACAATAATGCCAAGATTCATCGGCCTCAAATTGTCAAAGAGAGGTTCAGGGAGCATGAGGAATCGTTTTCACATATGAATTGACCACCACACAGTCTTGACCTTAACCGTATTGAAAGTATTTGGGATTTGCAGAAGACGACTTTACGGAGTGGTTCAATTCATCTACCATCAAAACAAGCGATTGACAAAAACGAATGTAAAACTTCATGAAAAAAAATGTCGAAATGTTGCATAAGCACGTGGAAACTATGGATTGCCGAAAGTGCGCCATAATCAAAGCTAAAGGCGAGCCGACGAAATATAAAGTGTGCGGTTTTTGTGGGGGTGGGAGCAGGCAGTGTACAAAGCCACGACTTCACACCATTATAACACATCCAGTTACACGCAGAAGCACAGAGGTTCACCTCGCCGAGTCTTTTCAGCACTTCAAACGTCAGCAGGCACCAAAGACTGGCAGCAAGAGGCCCCGCCCCCAGCTCAGGGCCGACGCCCACATACGTCATTCTGGCAGGAATGTTATTTTGCTGGCTGGATTTTATTTTTAAACTGCGTTCGGTTTAACCTGCTTCCCCCGTTTCGGCAGGTATGACGAAGTCGGTTTGTGCCGAGAAGTGCGGACAGAGAAAAACACGGTACTTCATACCGGCTCGGCCCACAGGAATGGCTAATCATTGACAGATCGACGAACTTTGTTGCGCAACTATCAATGTGTACATGAACAAACACACATTTATAATGGCCGCCTTTTCATTCTTCAGTTCTATAATCCAAAAAGAATTAGGATTGCTAAATATGTACACTATTTGCTGATTTATGAATACAACATACGCGCAACACTTTAGCCCTGTGACTCGGCTGGAATCACCCGTTCACGTGCAAACAGGCATGCAAAAATGCGACATCCTGCAGACTTATACACATACACACTTAATGTGTGATACTTTCTGTAACATTCTTTGCAACAATAAACATTTTTATTATCAAGTTTATTAATGCATTTTTACTGACTACTACTGTACTACTGTAAATCTGCAATTTCCTTCGGGATTAATAAACTCACTCATACCATTTCTATACCGGTGAGCACTTCTGTGTTGGCAAAATCCGGTTAACCCATTAAGTCAGGGGTGCCCAATCTTATCCGCAAAGGGCCGGTGTGTATGCAGGTTTTTGGGATAACCTTTAGGTCAGCTGTTCAAACCCAGGTGTGAGGACTCTTCAGCCAATCAGTCCTCTAATTAGTAATCTAATTAGGGAGTTGCAGCGAAAACCCACATACACACCGGCCCTTTGCGGATAAGATTGGCCACCCCCGCATTAAGTGAACCACAGGACAGGTGGTGAGAGTCAGTGGATAGTAATTGGACAACAAAACACTAATTCGAAGTAAAGCAATCCCCGGTCCATCTATCTGCATACACAGAAATAGGGTTCCCTGGAAGTGGAATCCAAACATGCTGCCGACAGATTATTACTAAAAATTACATTAATTGCACACATTTGTTGCACAGCATATGAAAAGCTGCGTTTTGTAAAGTTAAAAGAAACATCTCATTATGCTGAATGTATTTTATTCGCGATGTGAATGTACTGACCCGATCAGATAAAGAATGAATACTGAGGTTAACTGGCCGCCGAGACCCCCTACATCTCTTTCAATAAAATAACAAGGCTCCATATATGAGGTGAAATTACGAAAACGTACGTTGCAACATAAAACAAATTTCCCGGAATTAGCATAATGTCTTAAAAGCATATAGTAATTCTTTGTAAACGTAACACGCAGAGTGCCACCTGCAAAATAAAAAAAGCCTTTAATTAGTTTAACTTAAGCTGTGATCCTATACTGGATTAACGGATGGAAGATGGATGTATGGGTGAGTATTTTAATACGTTTTCTTCATATTAATCACCCCAGCCCTAGCTCTCATACAGAAATTCACTATTATCAAATAACTGTAGATAATGATTAAACAACCCCGGTTAACATGTTACTCCTGTAAAGATGACTTTGCCACTGGGACTCCAAAACAAAAACAGTGTTAAGTCGGATGAGATTTGCAGCCTGTTTAAATGTTTCAGAGTAAGAAGTTCGTTCACTTTTAATCGAACACTCAAAACATATGCGGCTCTCTACCTTATTTAGGGGGGCTTCAGCTAATTTTATATACATTTCGTATCCCGTGCTAGGCAAACTTTCTCGTGGGAACCGCCCTCTCCCCTTGTCAGATTTAATCGAGTGGGTCCGGGGGATGGCGGTCGTCTCACACTAAGCAGGTTAAATGATAGTATACGTATTTCTGTGTGTAATACAATCAACACGAATACAAATCTGTAGCGCACGTAGGAGAACCAAGCATAGGTAAAAAGTGATTCAAACCAGAACGTGGCCAGTGATGCCATTATATGCGTCGGACAAAGTGCGGTATTCCCTTACCTTCACGGAGCAGGTGACCGGCCGCTTCGCTTTTCCTGCGCCTATTGCGCATCCGCAACCAGGCTGCCGGACCGTAGCCGCTCCCTCAGCCCCATAGCGCCGCCCCGGCCGGCCCTTTCGCTCTCCCGTCCGCCCTGCAGGTGGAGATCGGCAGCTCCCGCCCTTCTCTCCCCTCTCGGCGGAGTTTAACCCGCGGATTCCACCCACAGGACCTTCCCGACTTGTTAAAATATATTTTAAAAAGTCAGTGCAAGCACGCTAGGGTCGGGTCCACATTTTCTGCTCTGTATATTCTGATGGCCTTGTCATATGTGGACTATTTGGACGAAAGCATTGGGACACCTGGCCATTAGACCTATAGTAACTTTTATGATATGGTTGGCACCCCTTTGCAGCTATAACAGCTGCCGCTCTTCTAGCAAGGCTTTCCACAGGATTTTGGGGTGTGTCTGTGGGAATTTCTGAGGACCATGCTTGACTGAGCTCTTCAGAATGACCCCATTCTTTCACAATGTCTGTAAACCTGACTTCATGTCTAGGTGCTTGATTTTAAACACCTGCAGTGGCAATGGGTCTGAAATCAATGATTAAGAGGTGTGTCCCAATACTTGTCCATATACTGTAGTGTATATAAATATGTTTGTACTAGTAATATGGTTACTTTGAGTTGTTCTAAATCTACAGTATATATCATGTAACTATAGTAGCAGGCAGGGCTAAACTGGAATTAAAAATCGGCCTTGGACTTTGGGAGGGGTTGAGGGATCCACCACAATAATACAATAAATTTAGTCGAGGGGGTGTCCAAATAACCATCCATCCATCCATTTTCCAACCTGCTTATCCTTTTCAGGTTGCAGGGGGTCTGGAGCCTATCCCAGAAGCTACGGGCATGAGGCAGGGAACAACCCTGGATGGGGGGCCAGCCCATCGCAGGGCACACTCACACACCACTCACTCACACACCATTCACTCACACACCATTCACTAACACACCATTCACTCACACATGCACGCTTATGGGCAATTTAGGAACTCCAATTAGCCTCAGCATGTCTTTGGACTGTGGGGGGAAACTGCAGTACCCAGAGGAAACCCCACGACGACATGGGAAGAACATGTAAACTCCACACACATATGACCCAGGCGGAGACTCGAACCCGGGTCCCAGAGGTGTCAGGCCCCTAGTCCAAATAACTTTTCAATAAATTTTGCTGGCCCACATGCCCTGTGCCCGGTATGCCAGACGGCCGGATCAGCCCTGGTGACGGTGACAGTGACAGTGGGGCTGTGCCGCTCTGTCATCCACACCGTAGCTCGCAGATACCATCTCTCCGCAGAAACCATCTCTCCACAGATACCATCTCTCCGCAGGCACTCCTGCACATATGCAAAGCAGAGCTGCTTTACATGCATCCTTAAACCAGACAGCGACCGTAAGATCCCTGCACATGCAGATCGCACTGGATAATCCCTGAAAATGAATTAGCTTCTGTTTTAGATGTACACTCACCTAAAGGACTATTAGGAACACCGTACTAATACGGTGTTTGACCCCCTTTCGCCTTCAGAACTGCCTTAATTCTACGTGGCATTGATTCAACAAGGTGCTGAAAGCATTCTTTAGAAATGTTGGCCCATATTGATAGGATAGCATCTTGCAGTTGATGGAGATTTGTGGGATGCACATCCAGGGCACGAAGCTCCCGTTCCACCACATCCCAAAGATGCTCTATTGGGTTGCGATCTGGTGACTGTGTGGGGCCATTGTAGTACAGTGAACTCATTGTCATGTTCAAGAAACCAATTTGAAATGATTCGAGCTTTGTGACATGGTGCATTATCCTGCTGGAAGTAGCCATCAGAAGATGGGTACATGGTGGTCATAAAGGGATGGACATGGTCAGAAACAATGCTCAGGTAGGCCGTGGCATTTAAACGATGCCCAATTGGCACTAAGGGGCCTAAAGTGTGCCAAGAAAACATCCCCCACACCATTACACCACCACCACCAGCCTGCACAGTGGTAACAAGGCATGATGGATCCATGTTCTCATTCTGTTTACGCCAAATTCTGACTCTACCATTTGAATGTCTCAACAGAAATCGAGACTCATCAGACCAGGCAACATTTTTCCAGTCTTCAACTGTCCAATTTTGGTGAGCTCGTGCAAATTGTAGCCTCTTTTTCCTATTTGTAGTGGAGATGAGTGGTACCCGGTGGGGTCTTCTGCTGTTGTAGCCCATCCGCCTCAAGGTTGTGCGTGTTGTGGCTTCACAAATGCTTTGCTGCATACCTCGGTTGTAACGAGTGGTTATTTCAGTCAAAGTTGCTCTTCTATCAGCTTGAATCAGTCGGCCCATTCTCCTCTGACCTCTAGCATCAACAAGGCATTTTCGCCCACAGGACTGCCGCATACTGGATGTTTTTCCCTTTGCACACCATTCTTTGTAAACCCTAGAAATGGTTGTGCGTGAAAATCCCAGTAACTGAGCAGATTGTGAAATACTCAGACCGGCCCGTCTGGCACCAACAACCATGCCACGCTCAAAATTGCTTAAATCACCTTTCTTTCCCATTCTGACATTCAGTTTGGAGTTCAGGAGATTGTCTTGACCAGGACCACACCCTAAATGCATTGAAGCAACTGCCATGTGATTGGTTGATTAGATAATTGCATTAATGAGAAATTGAACAGGTGTTCCTAATAATGCTTTAGGTGAGTGTAGAAGGTTCAGAAGCCAAATGAAAATCCCGTCAAAATGGCCGACGTGGTCTGAACGGCTACGTACGGCCGAATGTAACTTGGTGGCGGCCAGGAGATCTCATGCTCAAAGCTCAAAGGACGCCACACACGGAATGACAGATTCCCAGGGTCAGCCTGGTCACGTTACAGCGCATGAAAAAAGACACCAAAACAAACAGACAGTCATTTAACTCGGTAATGATTAACAGGGTAACAGGCGCGGTCGCTGTGTGAGTGAGCGAGCGGTCAGTGAGTGACCCCAGACGTTGCCCCACCTTGCTTCACCTCTCATTGTTTGTCGCGGTGGAGACGCTGTTTCCAGAGTCAGGAGAGCCTGGAAGCCTCAGAGGATGGCTTTTGACCAGAACTCTGCGTGACGCTGGTCCTAACCCAACTCCCAGATGACCAACACGAACCCTGTGGTAAATATATTGCAGTTTTCAGGGTTAAAGAGTTCCAGTCACCTTTGAGGAATCAGAGAACAGGCAGATAAATTAAGGCTTTCTGAAAATGTCACCCGAGCCAAGTGGATAATTACAGATGAGCAGAAACGGCACAAAGCTGATCTTCTCAAGAATGGAAATCTCATAAGGATGCTTTACTCTAGCTAAAAACACTAAACAAATATACCCACCGTTAGGGAAGAAAAATTAACATATTGCAGTGTAATTGCTCATAGTGCTGTTTTGCAATGGAAATGATGGGGGGACAGGGTGGGGGGGGGGTGTCACACAGTTGACGCACCACGTATATCTGACATTGTGCCAATGTAACCCAGGGCAGGAGGTCAGAGGTCATCCTGGATACACCGGGAATAACCTTCCTGTCATGCCTGCGGTCCATAATTCCAGGGAAAATGCTAGGCAGCTCAACGTGTGACAGCGCCTCCTGTAGACAGGAAGTTAACATCCAATTCTTTTGTTCTGTCAAGTTCATGCTGATCTCAGGTCAGTTTTGGGGAGCTTAGGGTGTAATTAGAGGCAGCACCAGCACAGTGTAATGGCAGCAGTCCCAGAAAGGCAGTATGTATGCACCCTGTGGATCAGCCTCACGAGAAAACCACACCCATATGCATCATAAAACCTCAGGAAGGTTGGTGGCTGCATCTGAATGCAGGGGCTGCGTCCTTCTGAGGCTGCATTCGAAAACCAAATGCATCACAGTGGTGCAACAAGACCTCTTGAAATGCAGCCTAGAAATGCCTCTTTCTTTTGCCATGTTGTGAAGGATCCACCCATTGGATCCTTTGCAGCCCAACGTATCTCAAGATTCGTTGCGCGGACCTTCAAATGCCACAGCCTACAAAAGCCTACATAAACCCTGCCCTTCGAAGGATGCAGACGCTTTTGGATACAGCCGGCGTCTAAAGTGAACAGATCACACAACCCCCTTCCCTGCAACCATCACCAGAAGACCCCAGGTGTCCCATACCCAGCGGTTCCAGGCCAAAGATGAGAGAAGCTTTAACAACCCCATGGAGAAATTCCATTCTCCACACTACAAAACTCAAACCCACAATCATGGAGGTATTAAGCCCATGCTCTAACCAGCTGAGCTAACCAGCCATGTCATTCATACAGTGCGAGCAGGCGTGGCAAAACGTGGACCTCAAAGCTTGCAGACCTGGCCTGGGACGTCCTGGTGCCACTAAGGGATCCCTATCAGGGGTAAAGGACAAAAAAAGCGTGAAGGAATTTGTGATGTGATGAACAAGTCTGCGTCAGAGGTGACGCCATGCTGTCATGTTTATGTGATAACAGCCCAGGGATGAGTGACAACAGATCCCATCCATGATGTCCACTAGAAGACGGTGTGGGCTGGCAAAACAAAAGCGACAGCCACACCATACAGTGAACGCCATACAGTGAACACCATACAGTGAATGCACACTGCTGTACACATGAGAAACCTGAAACGCAGGAGCCTCGTTCACCGTGACCCACCAACACGCCCCTTGATATCACCGTGTCACTTTAGACAGCAGATCTGATGAGACCTGTCAGTGACCCAGCAGTTCCAGAGGTGGGGAACAGGATATCGACAGCAGTGAACAAGCGTGACGTGTGAAAATTCGCTCGGCACAGCACGAACAGCAAATATGCAGACTCGGGCTGGTGTAGAATTACTCAAACCACAATATAAGGACATTCCGGACTTCATTCATTTTTCAGATGTTCATACCTAACATACGTCTACTGTAGTCTTCTTATATCTTAAGGTGCTTTCAAAGTCATCCAGCGTTGGGTATCACATGACTGTGGGTGTGAACCGAAGGTCTAATCTGCGTCCCAATTCAGGTGCTGCATCCTTCAAAGGACGTGGTCAAGGTAGCCTTTGTGGGCTGCGTCCTTCGAAGGTTTGCGCACTGAATCTTGGGATCTCGGCTGAAGAATAACATGTTTCTAGATTGCATTTGTAGGAGCCTTTGAAAGGGACCATCCTTGTGGCACCACTGAGACATATTCTGTCTTGGAATGCAGCCTTAAAAGGACGCAGCCCCTTAATTGGGACACGGCCCTAGTAATAGATGGGACGCGCTGCAGTGCAGCATACCTGCCTGTGTGGGGAGCAGCTGAGTACAGGTCAAGGCCTCGTACCTCTGAGGTGCACAGCTCCCGGATACCACAGCAGGAGAGCAGCAGCAGCACCACGTGTCCATCACCACCCAGCCCCCCAATTAGCATACAGATGGTCATGTGTCCCTCTGACAGGAGACACTGCGCAGGCAGTGTTTAACACCACTCAAACCACACTGCATCACTGGCGCCAGCTCACCAGCTGGAAATCCATCGCAGCTGTTATGCAGGCAGGTAGAAGCCACACGGTGATTTTACGAAACAGAGTATGTGTGTAAATAACAACCAGACAGTAACATTGTCTTTTATTATATTAATATTTTATGAAACAATTATATTTTCTTGGTACTTCCAGCATCAGGGTCATACTGCTTGCATATTTAGTGCAAATACATACAGAGCTGGTTCATCGTTATACATTTCTGCACATATTGATATTGGAGTTTACTGGGCAGTCAACCCAGAAACTCTGCCATTTAAGCTGCAGTCCTGCCAGCAGGGGGCACCAAACCATCACACTAAATCAGGGGTGGCCAATCTTATCCGCAAAGGGCCGCTGTGTATGCGGGTTTTCGCGGCAACTCCCTAATTAGATTACTAATTAGAGGACTGATTGTCTGAAGAATCCTCACGCCTGGGTTTGAACAGCTGACTTACAGGTTATCCCAAAAACCTGCATACACACCGGCCCTTTGCAGGTAAGATTGGCCACCCCTGCACTAAATGGAGTTTCAGTCAAAATAGAACCATCTAAACAAACATCCCTACACTCACTGGCCTACATTAATTAAGGGCTGAGGGACAAAGCAATCAAAGTACATGTATTTTCATGCTAAAAAACAAACATTGAAAGGTATCTGCTGTTAATACAAAATTATTTATTTCACATCAAGACAGACATGGAATGTTCCGCTGAATGAGGCTAGGAAGTTGTAAAATGTATGTATGTTACATACAAGCACTGGAAAATCTTGAGAAAGCAGCAGGGAGATTCGCTGGCCTCACATTACAGTGGATGTAAGGCAATGTTCCAAAGGCCACGCCCACCCGAGGCCACGCCCACCGGAGACCACACCCACCAGAGGTCTCACCCTAATGCCGAGGTTTCTGCAAACAAAAGGAACCGCACTTGATATAAGGGCACCTCGGTCTGTCATAAACTCAAGGAAAAATTATTCATGCACCAAAATCTCTAAGCAAAGGATTAGTAACAATTAAACTGAACATTTTCACGTTTGACAGTGTATAAGTGGTAAATTAAGAGTCTCACAGATTAACAGACAGATGAACGGGTGCAACCGCAATCCTGCCCTGGGTCAGCTGGAGGATGGATACATGAAGCCCTAAGATAATATTACACAGTGGACGTCACTGCCCAAACAGCTTACCCGTGAACTCATCAAGACGCATTTGGGGAGGATAGGGTTCCAGCTGCCACCTTGTAAGCAGGTGACCTTGTGCGCCCCCTGCAGGCGAAAGCCCTTTTTACACTTGATCATTACTGTCCGGCCAGCAGCTGTGTGCTTGGGAGAAGGTGCACCATTTTCAACTATAATCTCTGGGCATTTTATCACTGGAAAAGAGCAGAAAAGGAGAAGGTGTGTTACAAAAAAAAGCTGACGGCTAACTTTACAGCTACTGTATTAGCAAAATAAGCAACAGGCCAGACTCCACCACTGCTAGTGTGTAAGAAGAACAGGGACACGCATGCACACGCACACACACAAGACTGTAATTATATCTTTGTGGGGACTCTCCGTTCATTTTTATGGGAAAAACTAAATTAATTACAACATGACGACCCTAACCCCTACCCAGGCCCTAACCTTAACCATAAGTAACCAAACAAAATACGAGACTTTAATTTATTTGATTGCATTCACAGATCTTTGTGGGGACCTGAAAAATGGTCTCTACAATGTAAAAAAAAACAGGTTTTTATTACGTTGTGGGGGACATCTGGTCCAAAAGCTCCAAAAATATTTAATTGTTCACAGCCAACTTGCAAATAACCGGACCTGCGAGTGTCAAGTCCGCAGACGTGAAGGGGTCTCTCCGTGGCCGGCTGGTCTTCTTGAGTACCGTGGGGTCACTGTACTGCCTTTCCAGTTATCTTGGATGATGTTGCTGTTTTTCCACAGCTGCGGGACAGATTCTTTGTCCATGTTTTTTGAAAGACCTTATACACCTGATCTGCCAAGAGCTCCCCTTCTTGCTTTAGTATTTCTGCAGGCAGTCTATCCGGTGAACACAGCTTCATCTTCAACTGAGGTCTACTTAACTAATGCGACCACAAGCTAAAACGCAACAGGATTTACAACGCTGTGGTGACATTAGGTCCCAACAATCCAGTACATACAAAACACACACACACACACACATCCACTCATACCCAGACACAGACGCACACATGCACACAGGCTCACACAGATACACACACAGAGACACGCACTCAGATACCCACCTGTGCACTTGGGCAGGGCTGGCTTCCACTGCCCCTTGGCACTGCATGTCGCACTGCTGTTCCCACTCAGGACGTAGCCCTTGCGGCACTGGAATGACACAGAGTCTCCATACTTATAAATCAGGTGAAAGCCACTGGTCTTCTCGCCATTGGGCACCCTGGGACTCGAACAGGTTGTGTCTGTCGGGGACATAAAGTTGAGTCAGATGCTGTACCCCCAGGGGGAGTGGCCACAGGGCCCCATCAGTCCCGGTCTCTGGGTGGGTGGGGAGGGGGGGGCGTACCTTGGCATGTTGGTGCTTCGGAGCTCCACCTGCCGTCGTGGGTACAGTAAATCTCACTCTTCCCTATGAGCTGCCCTTTCAGGCACTGGTAGGTGACCACTGTCCTGTAAGGGAACGTGCCATCCCTCGGTCCGGACCACTCAGCACTGACTACACTGGGCGGCTCGTCACACTGCACGGCTGGGAACAAGCACAGACACACTCAGCTCCCCCAGCCCCTGCTCTCCCCAGTTGGCAATTCTACAGGATACCCCCCTGCCCCTCCTCCCCTAGCAGGGTCAGGAGTGCAGCTCAATGGGATTCACCTTCACAAACAGGATCCCTGCCATCCCAGCCCATCTCCAGGCAATGCCTGTAAGGACGACCAATGAGCTCGTATCTGGGGAGAGAAGGGGAGGAGCATCACTTGCACTGGATACTGTGAGGGTTAGGGGTCAGGGTTCAAGGATTTAGGGGTTAGAGGTTAAAGTTCAAGGTTTATGTCTTAGAGGTTATGAGTAGGGATTTAGGGGTTAAAGGTTAGGGGTTATGGTTCAGGGTTTAGAGGTTACAATTCAGTGTTTGGGTTTAGGGGTTACAGTTCAGGGTTTGGGTTCAGTTTTTAGGCAGGTAGGAGCTTAGAGAACCCAGCACAAGTTCATCTGCTACCTAAACCATCTCCCCAAGGAGACTTTGTGAAACGTGACCTTCAACTGCGTCTTAGAAAGCATGTGAAGCTCCTCACTACATCAGCTGCAAGTGTCTCCCAAACACTGGGTGTGTCCGAAATCGCGCACTTGCCTCAGTGCACTGAGATGTAGTGCGTAGTGCGCACTGCGCACTTCCTTCTGTAGTGCACACTACCATGGGTAAGTGCTGTCCTAAATGGAACACTAACGTTTTGCACTTACCGGAAGTGAGGGACAGGCATTTGATCGCGATTCTCCAGCGCGACAAAATATCTGCCGTTTACAATGAATTTCCTTGTGGTTTTATTTGCGTGTATATAACCTATCTACGACCGGCTAAAAAACAGCTAACATTTACGTGTGCAAACTCTTTTATGTCGATATAATCACAAACTCAAATGATCTATAACTGTCGTCAGAGAGTGACAGGCTACACACTGCAGTATACATCAGTAAAATAATTTTATTAACGTTACTTAGATTTATATGAACAGTTGCCTCCGCTTGGGCTTACGTGTCTGTGTTGTTATCCGCCTTAATTTAACAATGAAAACTTGCCGAAAGTCCCTCCCCTTCCGCTACGTAGTCAAAATGGCGTCTGTTTAGTGCGAGTAGTGTCCATCATTCTGCACTGCGTTTTCTGGCCGTTTTCAGTGCACCATCCGGGTACTTTCAGTGCACTGAATTTTGGCTTAGTTGTCAGTGTGAACGCACTACGACCTAAAATCGCGCACTAAAAGTGCGCAAGTGCGCGATTTCGGACACACCCACTCTTTTACCCCTTTTCCACTGCAAAGGTGCCGGTGCCGTTCCGGTGCCGATCCCCAATTTGGAACCAGTGCCACGTTTTTCCACAGAAAAAAAAAAGGCGCCGGTGCCGCAAAATCGGCTCTGAACCTTTGCTGGTCTGGATGAAGCACAGGTGTCGTCGTGAGAGGTGGGCGGAGTAACCGAGGCAACGCAAAATAAAGATAATGTTGGAAAGTGGGCGTGGTTTGTGAAATGGGCGAAGTGTTGTCACCCGGTTCCCACTGGGCTCTGAAGTCCGTGGAAATGCAGGCCAGCTCTTGCTGATTCCCAACTTCAGCACTGGCCGAGCACCAGACCCAGTGCCAGCACTGGCACCAGTGGAGTGGAAATGGGGCCTTTCATTGCTGGATCCGTGTGCGGAACCAAATCCAGGTCAAGCTTCCGGAATGCCCAGTCTGCGCACGCACAGGTGACCTCTCTCCAAGAGAGAGAAGGATGCTTACCCCTGATCGCAGACAGCTGTAGCCTGATCGCCAAACTGGACCCCCTGATAATTGTAGTGGCCGTGAAGGATCTCCCCTGCAGAGCCACAAAGCTTCCCTGCCAGCGAAGCAAAACACAGAACAGAAATGAGTCGGTTTTAAAACATAATGGCAGCATTCTATGCAGCACCCCCCATTCTGCATATTGCATCAATTCACATCAGTTCTAATTCTGCTCCAAACTCTTGCACAAGCACTGTACCCTTCAAAACCAGAAGAGGATGCAGTGAGATTTCTGCTGTTGAAAATGCAGAACATCTAGAAGTGTGAATGATTAAGAATATAACACCTGCAAAAGCACCTGCATCAGTGTCGAAACATGCTACCAGCTGCATTCATCGCCACTGCAAATGCAAATATGCATGTATACAAAATGCACACTCAAAAAGTACGCATTTCTCAGCCTGATCGACAGCGACGCAGGATCACCATGATAACAATGTAGTTACACTGTCAGGTTTGGTAGTCGTACACCCTATGTCCATGTGAGAGGGTTTCTTACGCTGGCATTTCATGTTAATCTGTGTCCAGTGGCCGTCTGTGCACTCGCTGATGCGTCTAGTGCCCCAGGTCCTCGTGTACCCCATGGCGCACTCATAGGTCACGCGGGATTTCAGTGGGAACAGCTGCTGCGCTAAATCTACGCCGACGGGGTGCATGTTGGGGTAGGAAGCAGGAGGGCCACAGCTTTCTGAGACACGAGAGAAGCAGAGCTGTCAGTTAAAAACCCCCCTATGACCACCCTGACCAAACCCCACGTGCTGGAACACTGCGACTTCTTTTGCAGAGAAAAGAAATTGCAAAAGCAGTTGCACCCAGCTACATAGAAAGACACGCAGCATAAAAGTAATCTCTTAGCAACAGCGACCTCTATCTGCGGAGGGAAGGCACTGCGGAGGCTGGGGGTCCCATTGCCCGTCCGGACCACAGGCGATCTCTTCGGGTCCGTTCAGGTCAAAGCCGTCCCTGCAGGCGAATCTCACAGAGTCTGTGGGTCTGTAGGAGGTGCTGTTCATCACCCCGCTAATCATCACCCCGTTGGCCACAGGCGGGCTGGGGCAGCTTATCGCGGAGGGCTCACCTGAAACGATATGCCACCACAATCTCGTCACCTTCCAGCTTCAGACAAATGTTACTCCATTCCTGATTTCTTTAATAAATATGTCCGATTTTCCATATCCCATTAATCCCAGCGACATCTGAGAGAGCATGGAGTTGGTGTGGAGGGAGAACAGAAAGAACCGAAACACTCCGAAGCGCAAAAAAAAAGAACGGAATCTCCTTCAAAGCGGATCAAAGGAGGGCATTTAATTAAGGGGCACCGAAGGAGAACAGAAAGAACAGAATCCCCCACAGTGAACGAAGGGGGCATTTAAGGAGCACGGAGGCAGACGGGACGCCCCTGCACACTTACGCTCACAGCGGTGGTTGAGCTGCGTCCACAGCCCGTCTTTGCACCTCACGAACAGCGACCCTGCGGCATTAGTGTAACCCAAGGCGCAGTTGTAGAAGACCCGCTCGCCAGAGAAGTAGGAGCTCCGTGGCCGACTGGACTTCTTGAGTAGCGTGGGGTAATCCGGCGGCGGATCTCGGCACGGCTTCAACGCTGTAATCGCGTAAGGGCAGCGGGAATTAGACATTTTTGCGGCGCGTCTATTCTAAAACCTACTTCACTGCTGTTATTGACTAATACTACTACTAGGCCGCCTACTACTACTACTACTACTACTACTACTACTACTACTCCTAATAATAATAATAATAATAATAATAATAATAAAAATTATAGGCCTTATAAATTATTTTTCGCGTGGGTTCACATACACGTATACATACATATAGTACAATAGGCTACAGTTACCCGCAGGACACCTAGCTCATTTTAATAGTAAAATTTCATTCCTAAACCCGTTATCAGAAAGGACTTAGATACGGAGCTTACTTGTGGTCTTCACCATTAAAAGAGGTGCCATCAGCAGCAAGAGAAGGTAGCTTCCACAATCGCTCGCCATCTCTGTTTTCCGCACGATTTCCTCTGATCCTGCGCTTTATACCACAGCCGAGTGCAACGGTGTCCGAAATCCTTACAGCCAGCGGGAACGCCCCCTCCGTGCTACGCAAGCGCTCACTGCACACTGATGAATTTGCCAAAGAGTAAATACAGTATATATATATTAAAAATACCTACCTGTGCATGACTTATGCACTGGTAAGTATGACAGCTGGGTCATTTCTTTGTTCCATCCACCAAACTGAAGACACGTGGGGATCCTGTTTTTCAGATTGTTTTTCCCAGATTATGTAACAATCGTCCACTGGCGCTGAGGTCGGTGGAATAAGTTTGTTAAAGTGTAAACTCAAGACACAATTGTCTAGGATGGTCTTTGTATAGCTTTGTTATACGTCATTTAATTAAACTTTGTTTTTTTTCTTCTTGTACGGCTCTTTGTGACGTTTGTCTGTGAAAGGCGCTATATAAGTGCGTTTCAGCGTCATATTTTCGACGAACAGCATACGGATATCACAAAACGATTTAGGCCTACACTAAAACTGCTTCCAAAGTGCGTGTGTGCGGGGGACAGAATTTACTAAAGTTCATTAAACGTTCTCCAAGAGCGTCCACAACAGGCAGGCGCAACAATTATTGCGTAAAACCACAGTGTTTTATTCACAAATAGCGTCATGCAACCACGAAAGATTACGTTTGCAAACATATAACGTAGCCAGTGTTAGGACACAGGTGAGTCAAACACCTACACTCACGGATTTCAACAAGTTACACGTTATTCAAACTGTAAAATTCCTTTTATTTTTCTAAGATCTACATTGAACACGACATTCCACATTTATGCTACTAAAAATTAATTTAAAAATAGTCGCACGTACGTTACCTCCACACACACAAAGGTGAGATTCAAACACCCAACCCTCTACGGTCGAGGCAAAGGCCATCATTTAACTAGTATTTAATGATTTAGTAGATATTTCAACTGTTAATACATTTGTTTGACTATACAGCCGCGGGAAAAAAATGAAGAGACCGCTCTATATTTTTAAACAAATCTGCATCTTTAAATCATAGTTTAATTGTGGTTCTGTGGGAGAAAGATACGCTGAGCAGCATGATGCTTTCTGGTTTAAACTTTCTAAGACAGCTGTACACAGAAATAAGGTGAAGCAGGAGACACTGGGAAGGACTAGAAACTAGCCAGGTAAAAGGCGGAAGCGACATTCTAATGCCAGAGATGACCGTTAACTGATCCGACAGTTTCTCATGAATCGGTGGATGGCATCAAGTGACCTTCAAATGGAATGGGAAACATTAAGTGCAGGTGTGAAGTGCCCTGCTAGGACAGTTCATATCAGGCTCTTAGAAGCAGGACTGAAGTCCCATAAAGCAAGGAAGAAACAGGGAAGAATCAGACTGCAGTTTGCAGAAATATATACAATTATTCACAGACGTATAGCCATAAATTGAGAAATGAATGAAACAAAAAATGGTACACGAAAGATTAATGTCGCGCTGGCAACTCTGTGTGAAACATTAAGTAATTGACATATAGGGCTAACTTAAATGCTGCCCTTAAGAGCATCACACGTAAACCATTTAATGTGTAAGACACTGATTGTATGATTGTGCAGCATGCAGGCCTAATCGATAACACAATCCTATATTTGACACCTCTTGTCTTACTTCGTGCAGAATTTGTCCATTATATAAATAAAAAAAAACTTCCCTTCGCAGTATGTTCCGGTACAGCTCTTGCCAATTGTACAAAAGCAGCATTACACAGCTGCTAGACTGGAAATCCACAATAGTCTATTAATAGATTTACATAAATGGCAGTGTGCCTAAAACAATCCCATGTCGGTTTGTGACAGAAACCATGCAGTGGGCTACTGCCCTAGTCTGATTCGACTGTTATTGTTACATCCAATGAAAAATGAGTCTTATGAAATATAATCTTCATTCTGACTTGAATCAAATAACAGAACGGTATACAATTCTCTCAATACTCTAGTATTACTTTTGCGTTCAGAATGATAAAAGTTTAAAATTGACGTATCTGCATTTTGTCTTTATTTAGCACAAATTCTTTACGCATGTTTTAAACTTATAATAATATTGTCGTCTCATTTAAGACGCTTGTTGGTGACAAATAGACACAAATGAAATAATTTGCTGTATTTGGGATAAAGTGCGGCATTGCATCACAGGAGAGTCCTGCAGGTGTTCTGACGAGTTGAGCTACCTATCGAGACGTGCTATCGGGCCTTTCTGCGCATGTGCAGTTCCACCGTTTTGGGATTAGGGTTAGGTTTTAGGGAGTTAGGGTAAGAGTTAGGGCTATCGATTAGTACTACGGTAGCCTAACTCGACAAAGTAGCTCAACTCGACAGAACACCGGCTGTCCGCTTTTGAGAGATGCGTCATAAATGGGTATCTTGTTCCGGTTAGGGTCCCGGCTAATTTAGCAGGGGCCTGAATCGTGTGCGGCGAACGGGTATCTCGCTGCTTGCTGGAAAGGAAAAATGAGCGCAAATCATCACACAATGAAATAAAAAGTAGACAAAGGCCTGTACAGAAATCCTTCGATGGAAACCAGGTGCCACCCATACGGTATTTGGGAACAGAACATTCTGTTTTTTATTTGTTATAAAAATGTGTTACATTTGTTATCTGTCCATGTTTAAGCATAACATCCGCCTACACTGTACAAGGACTAGACAAAGATACTGCGTAGAAAATGAATTATTATTCACCAATGTTCTGGAATATACATATCAAATACAGTTCATTCACATTTTGCGCACTTCGTAAGGAATTTCCAATACAAACACGCCGTTTGCATGCCTCATGCACATGTAATCGCTGTTTGTCGCGCTGATCCCACGCTGTCTGGTGGGTTGCTGCCCGCAGCGTGCGGCTACGCCGGGCGGTACCCGAGGGCGAGCCCTGCATTTACTGAGCACGGGCGTTTCGCCAGCCGCCTACTTTTTCCTCACGACTTTTGCGTAACACTAACCACGGGGCTCGTAGAACAATATCCATAATCCCACTTCCACCGAAAGGAAAACAACTTAAAAACAACGAAACCCAGCAGACCGCTGGCCAGCCCATATGACAATGACTTATGTTCAGAGACGTAATAAAAAAAAAACTAAACCCGTTTCCTGTGTGACTTGTTTGAAGCAGAAGACGCGATCCCGTAAAGAGGCAGCCTTTCCTGTCACCCCCTCTCGGGGACAGCTGGATGAGGTGCCACCGGACACGCCTGCCCGCTTTGGTAACACCCCCCTTTCCAGACATGAGGCAGCGTCTCCGGGGCTCGCCTGCTCCTCCGGCTGTGCTCTGTGTTCTGCAAATGGCGAGAGGGAGAGACAGGTCGTCAGCGGCAGGTAATTTCCGAACAATCAGGCCTCTATATGCTCGCCAGACCGCTGCATGTTGATGGCCACATGCAGCGCTGCACTGCTCCCAACTGCCTATGGCGATTTCACTGAATTCACATGGACACATTCAGGCTCACAGGTATTTTAATTAGGGGGTGCAAAGAGCAAGTGGAACAAAAAATTCAAAAACATCTGTTGCTACATTCAATGAGAGCCATTTACACCAGACTTAATATTTACTTTTCTTCCAAAAGAGATGCCAGCTAGCTAGTTAGCAGCCAGATGGTCTGTACTACTGAAATGTTTTAATATAAATGACCTGACAAAATATGTTGTTTTCTTCTGCCCCGGGGAGGTGGGGCTCTCAGAAATCAAGTAGCCCAGGGGCCTCTGTCCACACCCACCCTGGGAGCACACAGCGGCGATATTTACCACCACTCATAGTACGCATTTGCACAAGGTCCCCTGTTGGCACAAATAGTCATTGCACTAAAAATTAAATAGAAACAACATGTTCCAGAAGGTCATTGCTAGCTAGCTGGTTAAAAACAGGGGTGCCATAAGTGGGGGGGGCGATGTCCAAGGTCCCTGAGTGATATATCATCTATCAGCATCCCTGACTAGCAAACAATGGGGGAGTACTCCCCGGGAGTAAACACCATCTTCCAGGGAAGCTTCATGCTCTCATGGAGAACTTCAGAGCTACTACCATGGGCAAAGCCCATTTTGTACCATTTAAATACATTTCAAACAGACTTCAGTGGAGTGAATGCAGTCAGGGGTCAGGATATTGAACCTAAAACAAAATCCAACCAATTGCTATATGTTAGTGAAGATGTCTGATAATGCTGAACTGTTACGTTTTGTATTATTTATTTATTATTAATTGGGACTTGTGGACTGAATGAAGTACCATATAGGATATGAAGGTTCAATGCAAACAAGCAGACAAACTAGCACATATTCTTATAGAAACTGAAGGGGAATCACATACACATCACACTAAAAATATTATATCCACACAACATTATAATGTTTATCATACTACACACATGCATGCATAGACATGCATGCCATATAATGTACACATTACATACACTGTTCATCTGTGATATATATTGCTTGTACAAACTGGGTAGCAAAATATCATTTTATGCTTACATGTACCAGAAATCTCGACGGGATCAGTCGCTGCCTTGCTCCTCTCTGTTCTCCCATTCACTTGCCATCCTGTTTGTTACTTTGTGTTCTGGCACCTTTGTTGTTTCCTATTGTTGTTCCCTGGGTTGTTAAGTGGCTGAATGGGCTAAGCAGGTGGGTGAGAACTGTTGCTTCCCTTCTGTTCTGGCCTCAATAATATTCAACATTTTTCTTGAACCCCTTGTTATATTAACTTTTGTGTTTCTGTATTGGATGTTTTTGTGCCTTGGTTCTCGGTTATGTCCCGTTCGCTTACATGCCTTGTACCTCCTAGTGTTTGATTTCTGAGTCTTTAGTGCCTGTTAACAACCATCACCTGTTCCCTGTAGTACCTAGTTGGTTGTATGTAATTGGTAATAGCCCACACCTGTCCTTGCTAAAACCTCTTCATATTAAGTGCTTACCTATGCCCTGTTCCTTTGTCAGTCATTGTTACTGCTGTGTGTGTTTCCATGTGTTATCCTGTGATTCCTTATGTTTTCGTTCTAGCCTTGGTTTAATTCTCATCACCTTCCCACCTGTGATTAAACTCATCATGGACCCTTTTGTTTCTGGTTCACTTCTGAGTTTAGTTTATAATAAATATCCCTTTGTTGTCAGCAAGCTGCACTGGGATCACCATTCAGCATACCGTATCATTTCAAATCTTTGTTTACCAAAGGTGTACAAAGGACACACAAAGTGTGCTGCGTTTAACTGTGTAACTTTTAGCCCTAAATGACCTGTATGAAGACCCTACACAGGCTGCATGCACATGGGTTATCACTTTTGTGGCTGACACCCCGAACCTTCCCAGACGGGACAGACAGCGATCAGCTGAAATGCCACTGAAGCGCTGTAACCACCAGCAATGCTTGGCAAGTATCAGCTGGAGGTCTGTGGAGGGGCGGGGCTTCCGGTGGTGGCAGACATGTGACCGAGACGACAGGGTGAGGGGGAGTGAGGATATGGCCAGGGGACCCTCCTCCGAACCCCCCCTGCCTCACACAGACACACATGTACCGGAAACATTTTAGGCTGTGGCTGACTCACTGATACAGGAAACGCTTTGGGCTGCGTCACACTGACACAGTGGAACATCTACGGCAGGATTGGGGAGGCGAGACCAGGAGGCGTCAGGAACGGAAGGGCAGCTCAAAACACGGCCAGCATGGGAGATAAAAGGCCCCAGGGACCCTACGCTGCACTGGGGCTTAGGTCCCCAGGCTGGGGGCACTGACGGGCGTCCAAGGGTGTGCCCGCTTGGAGTACGGACCAGGAGCCGCCTGTGTGCAAACACCGCAGCATTAAAGAGACGCGTGTTTGGGAGGTGGCAGACAGCCATTCTGAGAGGCGGCACAGGCAGTTTGCACAGTCTGCTGGTGTCTAGCAGATGAGCTGCGTGTTGAAGAAGGAGCAGCGATGGACACCGTGTCTATGGAATCGCTCAGAGAGACCCTCAGGCCACACACATAGAAAGACGGGTGATTCCCGGCACTGAGAGGCGAAAAGGAGGGACAGGGAAGGAAGCAGAAAAAAAACCACAAAATGGACGGCCAGTAGCTGGGGGCTAGACCAGCTAAGTCAGTTTCAGCAATTTTATGGCAGCACTTCAGATAAACAGTGATCAGCACAGTGGTGTAAGGACAGGAGATGACACAGATATGGAAGCCACTCTGACATTCCACTGATGGATTTATAAGTGGGGCAGGGGTGGATGGGGTGGGGGGGGGACGTTAGGCATGTGGTGGGGAGACCAGCACTGCGTTAAATTTAGAGTGATGACAAGCCAGCGCTGTCCGCAGCAGGGTGTTCAACACTAACTTGGCTTTCTGGAATTGCTGCCCCCTCTCGTGGTTCAGGGAAGTGCAGGGCCCCCGGAGGGGGGGGTGAGGGGCAGCCCCGACTGGATGTCAGTGCTGCACCGGGGGCGCTTGGCCTGCTCGTGACTGGATAGGGGGGTGAAACTAATCCGCCGGGGGAGGCCAGGTGCGGAGTTCCTCTGGGCTAAGTCCTGATTAAAGGAGAGAGACCAGGGAATTAAAAGAGATGGAACAGATGCAGGTGAGTGAGCCCATGCAAGAGAGCAGAGAGGCAGCCCTACCAGGAGAGGGCGCTGGACTTTCAGCTTGACTGACACAGCTGGATGCTTGCAGGTAAAGGATGCCAAAGGCACAGCAGCTCAGGTCAGGCAAGCGAGGAATAGGCTGGCAGAGACGTCACAGGGGTCACAAAGTCACAGACTGGTTTGGATTCGTTAAGCTGGCACATTGCGGGACAGCCGAACAGGCACATTGCGGGACAGCCAAAGATCCAAGCAGGCACATTGCGGGACAGCCAAAGAGCCGAACAGGCAGATTGCGGGACAGCCAAAGATCCAAGCAGGCAGATTGCGGGAGAGCAGGCAGATTGTGGAACAGGCAAATTGCCGAGCAGGCAGATTGCAGGACAGCCGAAGAGCCGAGCAGGCAGATTGCAGGACAGCCAAAGAGCTGAGCTACTTAGGCTGGCCAAACACAGAGGGAGCAGATTCCCAGACATTGGCCCCTGAGACAGACAATACTCTAGTAGATAACGGTACGTTTTAGACCACTCTGTCTTGCAATGTTCCTGCGTTTATGGGACACTGTGTTGCTTAGGGTTACATGGCCAGGTAGACATAGCAAAGACGACCAGCAGGTCTCACCGTCAGACGGTCCCGCTGGGTGCTCACAGCCTCCACCTTCAGGTCGAACCTGTCCACTTTGCAACCTGCGTGAAAGGGCAGGATGATGATGCCTGTGACTCCCCCCCCCCCCCAAGACAGGGCCCCTGTTAGTGAGGCTGGACGCCTTCCTGGTCTCTTACCATAAGCCACTGGGGTGAGTTTGAGGACCTCATGAAGAGGGCAGTTCAGGTAAGGCAGCTCGTCTGTGGAGGCAGACGGTGAGGTCAGTGCCCCGCGTGACTGACAGCGAGCGAAGCCTACGGCACCACA